TTTTTTTTTTTTTTTTTTCTTTTCTGTTTTTTCAGGCTCTCGTCGTTTCGCGCACGTGGCCGCGATACTGCATCACTCCCCGCCGGACAGTCTTTTCGAAAGGCGGGGTCCTTTCCGGCGCTCGTAGGCTGGACGGTTGGCGCCAATTTACGAACTGCGACACGACCGAACTCCGATTATGACGAACTCTTAAGCGGTATTTTAGGAGTAGCGCTACGACTTTTTTTTCCCATCAAGAGTTCAACCTACGAGTCCTGATTAGCTTGGAGGGGAAGGACGCCTAGGCTAATTGGCTCTTGGGAATCCAGTGTGAGAAGTGCTCGGGTTGAGTGGCTGCATCGACGTGTCTACGGAGTTGACGCATCGGAGGCCATGGATTACGAGGTCGATCCAGCTATGGTGGACCAGCTAATCGGTAACGCTGAGGATGCGGTATAAGACTTTGGCCTTGCTTTCCTGTGCCGCGCTCGATCCATCGCGGGTCATTCTCGCAGTCTCTTCCTGCTTCTTTTTCCTGCCAAGCATCGCTGGGCATGCTCTGCTTGACTGCGCGCCAAAAGTATGATTGCCTTTCTCTTCATCCCGTGGAACGCGCTCCGCTGGGTTCTCTGCAAAGCGCTTGCGTTTGGCAGCATTGCGCTAGAAAAGGAGGAAGTTGTGGATAGGGCAGGGATTGCCATTGAAGTCTCTGCTTACGTACTTCTTGCTTTTGTACCGTTGCTCGCATTTCTCGCCTTTCTCGCCTTCCTGCACCATCTCCACACTATCTCCTCAATTCCCCCGCTGCCTCTTCCCAAGCGTCTATGAGAAAAGCAGGTGTTCTCCCTCTGCTAAAGCCGTGCGATGATGGCTAGCGGCAGAAAAGCGCTTCAGGGATCGCCACTACCCTCCCTGCTTGGGCTGCCGAGGCTAGAGTCCCAGATTATGAGGAACTGCCTCTGGGAATGCAGCCTAGTTCTTCGTACTATTTTTTTCAGCATCTTATGCTCTGCTGCGTGTTGTATGTATCGTGGATGTGACTCGGTGGCACTTCAGTTCGACTAGCGTAATAAGGAAGCTTTTTTGTTCATGAATTCGAATTTATATCGTTTGTATTGATTACGAATCATGTTTTTTTCTTTTTTTTTCGTGTGTGGTTTGTACACTCCATCTGATCCTCTTTTCCCGCATACATAATGAGTTATCCTTCTCTTGAATAAATCTCTCGAACCTTCGCTGTTTTCTGCCTTTTTCTGTCTTTTTCCTTTCTCGTTTTTTCGTTTTCCTTTTCAGTTTTTCCTCGCTATTCGTCGATTGTGGCATATTGTCTCCTTTTTCCTTTTCCTTCTTTCAAGTTCTTATGGTGACTGCTCAGGCACGTGATCACGATAAAGAAAATTTGTTATTATAGGCCAAATGCTCTTGATGACTTTGCATCTGTTTGTTTCCCCTTGGTAAGGTTGCAACCCTTATTTGCATTCACGCACAACCTTTTTCCACGTAAGAAATTGTTCCTCTCACGTATTGCACACCATGCCTCGCTCTCGGATGGTGTTGGTTCTTATCTCAAAGTCGTCACGTTTGCATGATTCTCAAATGCTCAAGTTGCTTTCTGCAGTTATTTGGGTGTGTCTCGCTTAATTGGTAGGACACATTTCGACGGCTTGCGGGCCTAAGGCGTATACGGATCCTAGCTGCAGAAGCATGTCCACCGGTTGTTTCCGGTGATTTGTTGTTGCGAACAGTGCTCGTATACGTCGATAGGCTAGCTATTGTAAACCTATCAGAGATTATGTAATCAAGGATACACTTGGTCATAATTAAAACTCGGATTTGATCTTAACACCCTATAGTGACTGATTATTAAGTTACGAGACTCATGAACAGAGAAGCTTTTGCGCCTATCTCCACACCGTAATCTGAAAGAACCCCCCCCCATATGTATTTCGATGATGCTTTTGGAGAAGGAGTCGTGGCTTGGTAAAGAGTCCCGTGTCCGCCTGATAAGCGAACGGGGTTGTGCCGATGCAATATTTCGGAGCTTATTCACGATGCGGTTTCCATATCGTTTCTCCACTTGTTGATTTGCATTTGGCGTGCTTAAAACACACCTTTACGTGGGGGGATCCCCCCGTCAGCGTTGTTGGTGGGGTGTCCCACCAACCGCAGCCCTGTGATTTATCCAGGTTGGGATGGCATGAGGTATTGCCTGAAGCTCCGTGTACGAGGATGGATGATCAAGTCAGATACGAAGTGGGGGGGAGTTCGGTTGGTGTGATACAAGATCGAATTGAGGTAAGCAAGTTTACGCATCCTGCGATCTAAACTCCCCTTCCCTCGCGAGTACTATATGCTTTGTGTGTTTTGTGCCGTGCAGGTCCTACCGGTGGAATACTTCCCTCGAGGATGGTGGGAAGAGATCACGAGCAAGCATGCATGGCTCGCGGATCGTGCATGGCCCAGCAAGCCGGCGCAGGCACTCCTTGCCACCATGAAGTCCGAGATCCTGGATGCAATAAAAACTTTGATGGGAACCGAGCACTATCCGAATTTTTTCAGCATGTTAGGCTTTAGCGATCTCGCCAATCTCGCCGCATCGTGGGACGAAGGGAGGGACGCCTTTAATGCCAAACTGTTAGCATTAGCTAGGGATCTGGAGGTAAGGAAGATAGAGTACGGTAGGGAATGTGTAGAGTTTCCCGCCAGAACGGCTAATGTAGAACGTTTATTTATGAAGATCTGGGGATTAGACCACTCGCACCTACAAGGACAGGCTGTCGAGAAACCGCAGGCTGAGTGCGCTGTCAACGGTGCTCTTGCCATGGAAATTGACGAAATGGAAGAAATGAGAGCCGCCATGATCGGCGCCATCGCCGAAATCACAGCAAGCGCTAGCAGCACCCCTCCTAACGCTGCCCCCGCCCATGGCACGCAGTTCACTGCCTTTGCGCCATTGCCATCGCTACACTGGGTTGAGCATACAGGGCTAGGCTTCAAGCACCAGCTCTGGAAATTGGATACATTCAACTACCTTGCTCCGTTTTCGCTCAACGCACTCGTCTTCCTCGCAGGCCTCACGAAGGAGGAAGTAGCGAACTGCAAGGCGAATGCCATGACCGTGGAATTACCGTACTGCCCACCGGAAAAACCCTTCTTCAAACCGACACTGCTGCAATTCCCTATTTTATCGGCACTAGATCACACGAAGTGCGAACAGACTAACCCTGTCATGTGGCAAAAAAATATCAGGACAGCCCCCGAGGTAGATCTCAAAAGCCTGAGGAAGTGTTGGAACGTTGGGCATCCCTACCTCAGATGCCAGTGTGCCACGAAGAGAAAGGACTGCGGTAATGGACCAATCTAGATGGACCATGCCATATGGTACCTTCTCGCCCACCCAGACATCCTCTTCCCCAACGTGGCGTCTGTAAAGGTAAGAATCTCGATGTTCATGCATTTCTTACGGGTATCTTGGAAACCAGCGGTGAAAGCATGCGTCACGTTCATGTTTATCCGGGGGGCCATGACAGATGTCATTCATGCACTCGAAAAGGATTCAACACTCACGTCGGAATCTGCCGTGGACAAGTCCAAGTGGAAGTATAACACCCCGCTCTTGGTTGGCAGGGTGCTCCTGCCCACACGAATCACCCGGAATCCCAGAGGACGAACGAGAGTCTCCCCTAACCCCCTCGCCAACCAGAACAAGAGGCAGAGGAACAACGTCCCTCTGGTCATCTCGCAAAGGCAAAGGGTTCTCCCCTTTGAACCTTACCCGAGAGGGAATGTGGCGCAAGCCATGGACCCACCGCACGACCCCCAACCACACGCGCGACAGGGTAGGATTGCTCCTCGCGATCCCCCGCCTGCTGTGCCAAACAGAGAGGTCGCGCAGAACAAGGCGAGAGAGCGAAGTACGACACAATTCGAGCAACACAGTAAGGCCAGCCATAACAACGCATGGGGTGGAGCTGGGCCCGCGCAGATCCCCTCTCAAGGCAGCTCAACCATCTCTACCGCCGACTCACTCAAATCAGCCAAAAAAGCAACCGGGAGCAGTAAGCGTAGAAAAGGCGTCATCGAATCTCCTTGATGAAGGATACAGGCGTTCGGCATTTATCCGAGCAGAATGACCCGTAGGGCACCTGAAGGTCGCGCGCGGGTTTTAATTTTTTGTTTAAAGGATTTCAGGTCGTAATTTTTTTATCCAATTTGATTTTTGATTAATCCCCGTTACTTCACTCACCATCTTATCGTTGTTTCCTCACACTTTAGTATCGTGCGATGCGCAGGACGAGCAGTTTGATCCAAGTGAAGGGGGCTGCATGGTCACTCTTCCGTCTGGCAGCGTTGCATGGAAAAGAAGCAGACCACAGGCGAAAGAATACGTTCACGTAGGTTACACGAGCAGGCTCATGGAGGCGATCCTCTTCAAGAGATTGGTGCTCAATGGTCTTAAGACTGTCGTGGGGAACAGATCGGCGAGCTGGTTGTACCACGTAGTGATCGGTTGGCAGTATGGTGACGCGATCGGGGCCAAGCTCTGTAAGCCGGGGCAGGTCTTCAAGAAATTCAAGTTCGCGGAATGGGAGGCGAGTTACCTACCTGAATGCTGCCTATGCGGACGTGTTCCTTTCCGTCTTGTCCCTTCTACGCCAAAATAGCGGAGATGGTCTCCGGTTGCCAATTACTGATGAGCACAAACGATCTTTCTGGGTCCGACCGGATTAGAATAGGTGTCAAGGCCAGGGCATTCTTTAGTGTAGAAAAGGCCTGCTCGCAGCCCGCATCCCGATGCAGGGGTTGGTCCTTCCGCAGGAGATTCGTCAGGGGTCGTGCGATTGCTGCGAAGTACCAGATGAACCATCGGTAGTACGAGGCCAGTCCCAACAAAGCCCGGACGTTTGTTAATAACGTCGGCGTGGGCGCTTCTTGGGCTCCCTCGATTTTCCAGGGATCCGGCCTCAGTCGTCCACGTGTCATGATGTAACCCGAAAACAAGATTTTCAAGAGGAAAAACTCGTTCTTTTCGAGGGCGATCTTGAAACCCGCGTCCCTTAGTGCCCCTAGCATCCACTCATTGTGCTGAGCGTGTCCGTGAAATGAGTCAGAGTAGACCTAAATATCGTCCATATACACGATAACACAAAAGTTGATCATGCCTTGCGGCAGCTGCGTCTTGTTGACGAGATTCCGGAAGGTGACGTTCATCGCTCTTTGGAAAGTCGCAGGCGCTTTACATATCCCCATAGGACAACGGATCCACTGCCACGTCCCTTCAAACAGAGCGAATGCCTTTTTCGGTCTTTCTTCCTCTTTAAGCAGAATGTGGTGAAAACTATGCCGAATATCAAATTTACTAAAATAACTGGCACATCCAATCGCATCCAGCAGATAATCAATCCGGGGTAAGGGATACACATTTTTAATCGTGATGTCATTCAGTTTTCGATAATCAATGCAAATATGTATTAAGTTGTTTTTCTTAGGCACTAAAACTACTGGAAAAGGCCTCATCTATTCTGGGGGGCAGCAGTCCGGTTGCTTATCACCGACAAGCATAGAGGCCAGAGGGGGTGGGGGGAGGGGGGGGGGAAACAAGGGAGAGGGGGCCTTGAGTTTTCCAAAAAAAAAAAAAAAAACCACTGGAAAAGACCAAGGACCTGTAGCGGGTTCAATCCAGCCATTCTCTTCAAACTTCCGGATTCTTTCCAATGCCGTTTTTCTTTCGGTGAGAGCGTATCAGTATGGTTTGCAGTGAATGAGTGGATGTTTTTTAGTCTGAATTTCATGTTGGATCACTCAAGACAGACCAATATGCGATCCTTGACGCTAATCGCTTCGTGATATTATCTCAAGATGTTTACGATCACGTGGTGAATGTCGCTTGGCTCGTACTCAGGTATGTGCAAATCGTAGGGTTGTCCATTGATTTTGACTTCTAACTGCTTCATCTGAGTTCGTTTAGGAATCCGAATCTGGGGAGACGAGATGAACGAGTGATCTAATCGCCAGGAGAACACAGTGGCAATCATCCGGGCGTCGGCCTAGGTGATTGCCACATGTTCCTCGGGGGTGATCCCATTTTCCCTGTCCTTAGGGACTTAATTAATTTCTCAACAATTATAGTCTCGATACTTCCTTTCCTGCTGTGAGGAGCGATAAAGATGGCAGCCCCGTGATATCGCAAAAATATATCTTGTCCAAATAGCGAGGTAACAGTGGGTTAGCCGCCTTATACAAGGTTCGAAGGGATTCCAAAAAATTTGTCACCCTGGAGAGTTGCACCAGTGGCTACCCTAGAAATAGCGTACGCGGGTGTTGAGCCCTGTTTGGGTTAGCGCCAATTTTCCGATGTTCAGAAGGTCTTAACTGTTTTCTGATGAATCGAGTATCACCAGGCTCTGTTCTTTAATTCATGCACTGCTTTGTCCTCATCAGAGTTTCCCTCGCTGTCTGAATTAGTTCAGAGCGAGGCGGATAACTCACTTGAATTAGTAGAGGGCGTGGCGGACAACTCATTTTCTTTCTCATTGGTCTGGTCGGATTCGTCGGTTCCTTCATCTGGTAGGATCATTCGGATTCGTTCTGCCAACCCCGTAGGAATATTGCAGGGTTTGCTGGGAATCGTTCGCAGGGGAAGACGCATATGAACGCTATACGACTTCCCTCCTTTGTTCTTAAGAACCACCATTCGGCGTTCAAGATCTAAATTCGCATGTAGTGCGTTGAGGGCGGGTAGGCTGATGAGTACATCATATGATGTCACATTCAGCACATGCACCTTTCCAAGAATACGCAATCTTCCTATCCGAAAAGCGACATTCGACATTCGTCAACGACCGTAATGTTTACCTCGTCTGCGGAAATGAGATTGTTTCCTTCAGGGACCAAGATCACATTTTTCTTTTTTCCAACTCGCTCGACTAATTCAAGTGATATCGCCAGCACCGCCGCCCCCATACCTCTATATCACATTCTGTCGAGATTTTCATGGGATGGGATTAATGCGCAGCAAAATGATCATCGTTCTAGATCATCCCAACGCGTGCGGTATCCGAGGTGCTTCGCTTGTCCAATGTCCGCTTTTTGTCGAGTGCTCCTTTGATGGCCGCAAGTTTTGCAAGGGCGAATTGTTTCCTATGGCCTTGCAGTGTTGTAACATTCTGTTATTGTTTTGTTATGGTATGGACAAGAGGTATCCAATCGACAAAGGGATGAGGTGATCCAGGGATCTAACAATATCAAGCACATCTCTCTCCGGTGACAAATGTCGGCCCTTCCGATTCCATTTCCCGGGGCGAGGGTCTCCATTCTGAGACTTCCCGCTCATCCTCAGCCGGTTGAACAGCTCCTACCAAACCCGGATATCCCAATACGAGATATTGGTCAAGGGGGATGAGCTTCGCTGCCTCGTCCATAGCCGATGGGCTGGCCATCATCCCATTCGTTTCTTCCACTATCGTTCCGACTCGTACAAGACCATTTGCTATAGGTGCAGTTGCCGCAGGGGAGGCCCCTACCCGAGCCTGTGGAGCTCAGTTGGGATAATCCCACGCTACATGTCCCGGTTGATGTCATGTCTAACATCTATCGGTTCTTGTGACAGCTGCTGCAGCAAGTCCCCCCGCTACTTGTATGGGCTGGCCTCTGATGGGAAAAGCAAGGGTCCGGACAATGATAGGGTGCATCGAACGCATCGCTGTTTCCATCTTGGGATTATATCCCCTATGTTTTTTTTGCTTTCTTGCATCAGGTTCACCGGAGTTCTCGTAAGTTCTAACACTGCGTTAGAGTCGTCCGTCTTTCCTACTATACTTGGGGAGGATGCAACAACTTTCGCCGCTGATGGTCCCGTGCTTAGATTAGAGAGAGGCTTTTGGCCAACACCTGCTCCAGGTAGGTGATAGGGCCAGGTAGGATGAGCCATCGCGAGCAGGAGCATGAACCCCTTAAGAACTTCCAAACGTCGATATCGGAGCGTGTGCTGCAAAACTAGTTTAACGATGACCTTCAGATACGCTACGACGTCTAGGAGGTGAATGCACCTGGGCCGAGTATACCGCATCGTGCGGCGTATTCACTCTTATGCGATCGACTGACGTATACGGGAGTGTATGTGGATGTGATGCACCGACCCGATGGGGAATCGACACGTGTGTTTATCGAGTTCCGCGCACTACGAGTGGCAGACGCATTTGCTCATAACATTGCCACGTTCATAGGCGATTTTACGCTCTTGGACGAGCGAGTGTGGGAGTCGGTGAGGAAGTTCTTGTGGGAGTACACGTTGCAAGTGGCTCGTTCGGTAGCGTCGGTGCAGGGACGAGCAAGCCATCACTTCTCGACCTACGAGTCGTTGCTTCGACGGGATCCGAGCGGATCCCTGGCTTTGGTTCCGCAGTTGCCTGCTCTCCTCCCACCCCCATACTAAATGACTCCCT